AGCTGAGCAGCGGGGCTTCAAAGCTCCCGCCGCTCAGCTGGGGGAAAATGGTGCCTATGGGGAAAAATCGCAAAGCGATTTTTCCCCATAGGCAAGATCGTTGTGCGATCGCAAAAGCGATGGCAACGAAGCCATCGTTATGCGATTTTTTCGTTATACGGGGCACTCGTTAAGCGAGGCACCACTGTATTTGCATCGCATAACCTTTATAAGAACGTAAACTCTCATGTACTATGTTATCATTTTAGTTGTCCTGCACACTCAAAATAAAATGAAAAATAAATAAATGAGACAAGAGCTGCAGCCTTTCTCCATCTCAGTCTTGCCATTCCCCTGTCCTTTTATGCAAAAGCTTTCAGCTGAAGTTATCACAGAAGAAACTGGAATTGCAAAGCTTACACTCTGCCAGCAAGCTACTAACAGCTTTCTTCTCCATGTGGCCCACATTCAACCAAATCTTTCAACTCCCATTTTAACCACTTGGCACACTTCTAAAGTTATTGTTCAAAGAAATATTAAGGCTATTTCTGTAGCATACACAATTGGGGTGAACTTACTGAATGTAGTCTGGGTTTCAGCACCTGTTCTTAAGTTGGTGAATGAAGAATTATATGTAATGCTGCTGCTGCCATTGGATAGTCCTCCTAAAGGCTTAGTTCCGGTACCATTGCCAAAGCCAGAAAATCCACCACCTCCAGAGGGTAAAACGAAACCTTTAAACCCTTTAAAAGCTCCACCACTCTCGGACTGAAAGAAAATATAGGTAAGTTACTATCACTTGGCAACGCAGTGACCTGAAAGTCAGTCTTATGCATGTTTACTCAGTCTTCCCAAACCTTACTAAACTCTTCCCAAATAAGCACAACACAGTTATCTTATTTATTCACATCAGACATATTTACACAGAACTCCTAAGACCATGCAAGCTGGATAGGAACTGCATCTACCTGGTTCCTCCTGTAAGCATGAGCTAGACAACGCACTATGAACACTCCATCCAAACTGGGACTCGTAACTTGCCACTCAGCAGAGAGCTAGGAAGTAGAAACCAGTGACCAACTCTGTCTTCACATTATAGAGTCAGAAATGAGGAATCCTCGTCTGGATGCAGAAATAAATTGTTGCTTTCTGTTTAATTTGGCTACTTTCACTGGCACAAGCAAGAACAACTGGGAATGTCCATGGGTATTCTGCTCATGAATTATTTGAATCTCTGCTCTTGTGTTACTCTGAACTTAGCCACTGTACTATAAATATTCTTGAGGACCTACAGAACAATCTGAACCAAAGATAGGCTTTGGCCAATTACAAAAAGTCAATTACAAATGACAAAATACAAGGGCAACTTTTAAACTGAAGTTACAATTAAAATCCATCCCTCTTTCTCTATAGTACAGGCACAAAATTGCCTTTATCAATTAAAAAAATCAACTTATTATTTGTTCATGTGCCTCAAAAAACTCATCACACACACAAAAAATCATCACACACAAATAATTCTGCCTCACTTCCCCTGTGTGAATTTTCTGGGGCAGTCTTCTCCAACTTGGTGTCCCCCAGATAATAAGCATTTAATTCTCAGCCTTCCAGCCAGCACAGGAAGCACCAGGTTAGCAATTCAGATATTCACAAATTCAGATATGCAATACCCACTGAAACTTAATATTTGGGCTTAGCAAATGAGTTGCTATAAAAGACACTCTCTCCTGGTATCTAACCCCCCCCAAAAAAAATTAAGAGAAAAATTATTTGTAATATTGGTGATTACACTCTCTCCTGGTATCTAACCCCCCCCCCAAAAATTAAGAGAATAATTATTTGTAATATTGGTGATTTCCCCCCCCCCATCCATCAAACTATGCTCCCCTTTGGGGCTATTCCAATATAATACAAACTTCTGAGATACAAGTCACTTCAAACAGAAACGTTTAAACTTCTATCAAGCATTGTCCAGGCATTTCAGTTACATAATCAATTGAATTTATATAGCAGATTCCCAACCTTGGATCCCCAGATGTTCTTGTATTACAGCTCCCAGAAATCCTGGCTCAGTGAAGGCTACTGGGATTTGCAGTCCAAGATCTGGGGACTCAAGGTGGAGAACCACTGCTATATAGCATTGCTCAGTACTTGTGTACCTATTATGTAGGCACCAGATATCATTTTAGTTTTAAACAATATAAATAGCCTAGAAGGCTATGAATTAGGATGTTTATTTTAACGTTACTTGTATTTCTGTACCTCAAGAACCACATTTCTGCGCTTTGCCTTTTTAATAGCTCTGTTCTTCAACACATCTTCACTGGCAACTGAAAAAGTTCCCACCTGCAAATGATATCATATTCTTAGAAAGGGCAAACTATTTGGAGAAGATACTAAATAGATGTCAGAAGGATCGTGCACACCACCCAGACTTTTCAGGACTCCTCTCCATTTCTGATCACCTATCCATCCCACAAACTCCCAAAATAGTAAATCTTCAAATATGCCACTTAAAAGTGCAATAACAACAACCACTGTATAAATTCATAGCAGGTTTACTTAATTTTCTCAGTAAACTTAGGTTTACTTGCATCAGGTAAGTATGAGACTGTAGTATGAATGTGCTTTATTGATGTTTTCCTCTAATAATATATCCAATTCAACTATTTTTAGTAGTGGGAAAACATTTGATATATGTATGCATTATGCAAGATAAATATGGGGTAAATTAAACATGTTTACCAGTTAAGTCAAAAACACTTAACTGATTCAGGGAAGTGGAAAATTTTTCAATTCAAAGTACTCCAGAACATCTGCCTAAGACAGGGACCAATTTCCAAGCAAAATAGAATGCATTCATAAACTTCATATACGGATAAAACTTCAAAAATCCTCCTCTGGATGGCATAAAAATCATTTCATAATCTTTACCCAATAAAAAGTCAACACTACTTTGATGCTACCAGGGATGGGACTTTTAAATTTAGCTGAACTTGGAAAAACATGAAAGGCTTTTTGTTTCATTTTCAGAGTCTTTTGTGGCTTTACAATAAATAAAAAGGTAAAGATTCCCCCAGACATTTTTAGTCCAGTCGTGTCCGACGCTAGGGGGCGGTGCTCATCCCGTTTTTCAAGCCTTAGAGCCAGCGCTTGTCTGAAGAGTTTCCATTGTCACGTGGCCAGCGTGACTAGGGAACGCTGTTTTGCCTTCCCACCGAGATGGTACCTATTTATCTACTCGCATTTACATGCTTTCGAACTGCTAGGTTGGCGGGAGCTGGGACAAGCGATGGGAGCTCACTCCGTCACGTGGATTCGATCTTATGACGGCTGGTCTTCTGACCTTGCAGCACAGGCTCCGGCGGTTTAGCCCGCAGCGCCACCATGTCCCTCCTTACAATAAATAGTGAGCCTCCAAAACAAGAAAGATTTGGGACTCCAAAAGAAAAATTAACAAAACGTGTGGATTTCTTATATATTTCATACTAATTCCATTTGATATTTGTATGCAAAATCACCTCAACTCCTATTTCAGGAAATAGTACAGTGGTGATTTGATTTACTAACACTCTGACCTATGAATGTCTTGAGTTAAGAACAGCTCCGGCCGCAAGATTTTCCTTTGACTTAGGGCCACCTTTGGAGGCCTCCCAGGGCTTCTCTGCCTCCATGGGAGACCTCCCGGGGGTCCCCTGCCACCACCATTGCCGCCTTTGGAGGTCTCCCAGGGCTTCGCCGCCATGGGAGACCTCTCTGGGGTCCCCCGCTGCCGTGATCGCCACCTTCGGAGGCCTCCCAGGGCTTCCCCGCCACCATGAAAGACCTCTCGGGGGTCCCCCACTGCCGCCTTCAGGCTCTCCTGGGGGTAGACAGGGCCTACAAGGGGAAGCCCTCCCCTGGTAGGCCTGATCTACCCCCTGGGAAAGCTTGAAGGTGGCGATCGGCGGTGCCCCCCCGGAGGTCTCCCATGGTGGAGGGGAAGCCCTAGAAGACCTCCAAAGGCGGCGACGGGGGATGCCTGGGAGGCTTCAGACTGGTAAGGTGCTGCTTTTCTTCTTTAAAAAAAGTTGTTCTGGGTGGGTTTTGGAGGGCAGGTTTGGGCTGTGGGGGTATGTTTCTGTGCTTTGTTGTTTGTTTTTTGGTGATTTTTTTTTTTTTGCAGGCCCAGCGTGGGACTTGCAGTGTTTTATTTTTACATTTTTTTGTGTGTATATTTTTTTCTTCGGCCGGAACGGATTAATCAGTTTTCAATGATTCCTATGGGAAATGCTGCTTAGACTTAAGAACGTTTTGACTTACAGCCACCGTTACAATACAGATTAAGTTCTTAAATCAAGGCACCACTGTATTGCAAGTCTCATGCGGAGGACTCTCAGCTGTAAATTAAGATATGAAAAGAGATGGGTGGGAAGTATGAATCTTTAGTCGCTTGGTGACTTCTTAGCTGTTGCTGCTGAGAAAGCTTCTCTGAGTCCATTTTAATTTATATTTATTCCCCACTGGCCTGTTATTGGAACTGGTACTACACTTTTAAAAAAATTGCTGCTGTTCCTTTACTTTTGAATTACTTTCTATATTGCTTGGATTCCCTCCAAGGATCGTCTTTTTATTTTATTGATTTTTTGGAGTTTATTCCGGTTTCCTTTATTGTTGCCTAGAATGCCAGCCTGCTCTTGACCTGGTGGACTGCAGCCTCCACTGCTTGGCTGAAGTCATCAAAGTGGTAGAGCTGTCTCCCTAGTCACCCACATTTTTGGGGGTTTGATTACAGCACCATTACTGAGTGTGTTTTTCTGATAAGATGATGATTTCTCTTTCTTATTTGTACTGTTTCTTGCTGGTAAATTTATAAGGATGATGACATGATGATGAATATGAACTTTAATTTATTGTTAGTGCCTGCCCATGTCTGTAGATGATTTTTTTCCTCTCCTGTACTGTATTGCATTGTTGCCCACTTTTGAAGTAGACGATTTGTTGCCTTGTCCCCGCTTTTTTCAGACTAGGTTTGAGGGTTCTGTGGGACTTAATTGACTCTATCACCAGAAACCAGAATGGAAAAACTGAACTGAAAAACCCAAAAGATTCTACTAGTTCCAGGTCTACCAAAAGGACATGTACTTAAAAAAACTCAGACCAAAAGAGGAGCCCAGCCCAAGAACAAAAGCGAATCAAAAATTCTCCCATGCATATCCCTAGATATTATTACTCAATTTCATCTATCGTATTTGTATCTGAAATTTCACAAACTATATACAGTGGTGCCCCGCTTAACGATTACCCCACTCCATGACAAATCCGCTTCACAACAATGTTTTTGCGATTGCTTTTGCGACCGCAAAATGTTTAAATAGGAAAAAACGCTTGACGATGATCGTTCCCTGCTTTGGGAACAGATTTTTTTTGCTTTATGACGATCTAAAAACAGCTGATCGTCAGGTTTCAAAATGGCCACCCGCTGTGCAAAAATGGCTCCCTGCTGTTTTCAGGACTGATTTTTCACTTAACAGGCCGCCTATGGAGGATCTTCACTGGACGATGAGGTATTTCGCCCATTGGAAAGCATTAACTGGTTTTTAATGCGTTTCAATGGGGTTTTCCCCCCACTTGATGACGATTTCGTTCCACAGCGATTTTGCTGGAACGGATTATTGTCGTCAAGCGGGGCACCACTGTATTTTCCAACTCTATTAGGAATGGCTATACTTAAGTTCAAGTAGAATTTGATGAACAGGATTACCGTGTTTCCCTGAAAATAAGACAGGGTCTTACAGTGGTGCCTCGCTTAACGAGCGCCCCGTTGAGCAATTAAATCGTTTAACGAGGGGCTCTGGGCCATCGCTGGAGCATTCGCTCAGCGATGGCCCCTATGGCGTTTTTTCGCTTTGTGATATTTGCTAAGCGATTCGCTTAGTGAATATCTCATAACGAAGCGGGGGAGAACAGCTGATCGGCGGTTCCAAAATGGCCGCTGGAAGGTCCACGCTGCATTTTCGCGCCCTGCCCTCGCTTACCGAGGGCGCGAAAATGGCGGCGCTATGGAGGAAGATCGCTTAACGGTGAGTTTTAAAGCCATAGGAACGCATTGAACAAAGTTCAATGCGTTTCTATGGCTTTTTTATTTCCGTTTAGCGATGTTTCGCTATAGCGAAGGTTAATCCGGAACGGATTAACCTCGCTATGCCAGGCACCACTGTATATTGATTTTTGCTCCAAAAAAGCATTAGGGCTTATATTCAGAGGATGATTTATTATTTTCATGTACAACATTCTACATTTATTCAAATACAGTCATGTCATTTTCTGGTTGCTGCATAATGGTGGAGGGCAGGTTTTCACTTAACTGGGGCTTATTTTGGGGGTAGAACTTATATTACGAGCATCCTGAAAAAATCATACTAGGGCTTATTTTCAGGTTAGGTCTTATTTTTGGGGAAACAGGGTAGAAATAATCCTGCCTATTCACATTTTAAAGAGTTCTGAAGAATGTATTTTATATCAAAGATTAAAGTTATATTGCTTAAAGATGTTCAATTCCATGACAAAATGTTTTGACTAGCCAAAAACTCAACCTTATACTACAGCTGTGAAAGAGGCCATCACTGAAAAATGTAGCAATACCCAGGGAATTTCAAGACTTTTCTATTCAACTCCCTTCATAAGACACCAATAATCTTTCTTTATATAAAATTTGAACAGTAAAAATGCTACATACTGTACAAGTAACATGTTATTTCTTAGAGTAAATTAAAGATCCCATATATTTGAACATGTTTTTTTCAACAGCAGTCCTGCTCCAGATTCTTTGTAAATACAAGAAAGGAAGAACTGGCTGTCTGGCTGCAATTTGATCTAAGAGATTTATAGTTTACTAGCTGTACAGAACTGCCATACTAATAAATATGATAGTTTATACTTGCAAAATCTTTCTATTCATTTTGTTACCAACTACTCCATTCATTACTAAAAGCAGCACATAGCATTATTTACCTCCTCAGTTTCTTCTTCTTGATCCCAATTCCTGTCAGTCAATTCCTTTTCTGCCACTCTTTTAGCCATTTTTCAACACTACTGTACTGGAACAAAAACAGTAATCAACTGCAATTCAGATTAATGTTCTTTAAATAGTTTGTAAAAATCAGAAAAGTGTTACCAGGTATCAAATAAAAATTCAATGCCACATTATGAAACACCAGCCTACTGTCTACTAGAAACAGATTATATATCAGTTCTTCCATCCACAATTAAACTTTCTTCTCCACTCCAAAATTAAGTATTAAAGCATTTTATTGTGGCACAATTTTTCAGAGACTTAATGCCCACTTCATAACCTACCTAAAAATATATCCTCTGATAGCTTATAATAAGACTGTAAGTCTCCTTGAAGATAGGAAGGCCTGGCGTGCTCTGGTCCATGAGGTCACAAAGAGTCGGACATGACTTAACGACTAAACAACAACAAAGTCTCCTTACTTTGATAAACTAACTTAACTCTTTTTACTGGGAGATAACTCCCAGTTTATGATAAAGTCCTAAGGCAGAGGTGACAAACACTGTTTGATCCATGGTGGAAAGCTATCACCATGTCACATATACACACCTTTACATCTCCACAGCAATCAACTGGACAGTGATACCAACTGTGAGGAGACGTTTAAACTTCCAGTCTCCATTTACACAACGCTCAGCCAACTGGGAAAGGTGGCCAGCTGGAAACCCAGAGACTGTGATATTTTTTCCCAATTTCCAGCAGACTGCCTTTCCTCTCAATGTACTGAGAATTTATTTGTCAATTTAGCTGTAAAATTAGTACTAGAATTCTCTCTCATCATGGCTCTTAAATTATTATTCTAAAGTAAGTAATAATGTCTTCAGCTGTTATTGGCCACTAACTTTTTGCTGAGTTCTGCCAATGCAGAGGGAATGATGTCATTAGCAAATCTGCTGCTAAGTATTTTTTTTTATTTCAGTGTTCATGCAACTTCATCTTATTGTGCACAAGTCACATACACCCCAAAATAAAAAACGGAGTACTTTAGTGTCCATCTGCCACTGTGGATAATGACACTGCTGCTATGCTAGGAGAGATATACAAGAGGATACTGACCATTGTGATCAGCCACTGTGCTTAACTTGCATACATCATAGGCAGCACCTCGTGAGCTGCAAGGTACATGTGTATCACAACACCCAGGAGCTCAGGTAATGGAGGATAACGCCCAATGCCACCATAAATATGTTCATTTCTAAGGTACCAATAGATTATATTTGCTAAAATGTATTAACCATACACTGAAAGGGGAAATTTTATTGATTTCAAATTTGTTTCGTGTGTTTACCATTTATCGCAGTCAGCTGCACTGGGTGCTACATACAGAAAAGATGGAATAGGAATTGAAAAACAAATAATAAAACTCTGAAACTCTTGTTTCCATTCCACAGGAAAATGGTTACAAAAGAAGCAGGGATACATACCTTGACAAATCAAATAAAATTGTACCAGCCACTTGTTCAAACATTAGATGATTAAGCATCACTCTTGGACTTACTTATTACAATAACTACCAACTATCTGCTGAACTACAGAACTAGAGATGAGCATGAAGTACTTTGTGTCTCTTTGTCGTAAGTCATCTGTGTGGCAATACAGTTGCCACATGTTCCCTGACCCCCACCCCAGCTGGCACACACTGCTTCTTCCCTCCCTGTTGCAAGATCTTCCTCCTCCGGCAGCTGGTCACTTAGACTAGGAGGTGGGGCAGGGATTCCTGCAGTGCTGCCTTTGAGTGGCCAGCTACCGTAAGAGGCAGAGAAGGGAAGTCAGAGCTCCTGCCCAGACTGGAAGATCAAGTGATGGGGAGGGAAGGAGCAATGCTGGTGAGTGGGGGTGTCAGCAGGGAACACACAGCAGAAGGGGCATGAAGTACAGAACCATAAACAAGCACTTTCTGATCTTGTTATTTATTTTGGGATACCTGGTACATTTCAAATACGGTAGTTGCAGCCCTTATACATGGGTGATGGCCTAACAGTGGCCTGCAAACAGGAGAGCATCCTTTAGGTAAGGGAAGCCTCTAGTTCTCCAGATGTTTCCACAGTTCTATACCATTAGCTATGCTAGCTGACATTTCTGGAATGAAACTCCCAAAACATCTAGAGGGTCAAAGATTCCTCACCTTTGTTGAGGGTTCTAAGTCAGCAGAAGTTGCCATTACTATAATCTGTTCCCCAGCAAACTTTTAAGATAGGGCAGCATAAACAGAAAAAACTGGTGAGGTGGGGCAACTTTACGAAGGTATTCTTCATAGTCATATCTGAAACTGGATTTAAAATTACTTCTCTGAGATGAAAACAAAATGCTATAACTTTGCAGACATCACAATTTACCAGTAATCTACTTATTTCCCAAGACAAGGTCTTGAGAGTAATGAGAAAAACAATGTCTCTAAACATGGACAGTATAACTGGCCACACATATAGGATAAGGCAGAATAGCTTTGGGGTCTGAGATTGTGACTAGGAGCCTAACTGCAATCCAACTATAACAACTACATTTTTTATTATGACCTTGGTGTATCTAGAGGTGATGTAACACACTGAAATTGAACCAAACAGAAGTATATACATACAACACTTTTAGATACTCCTTATGGAAGCCACACACACCCCAGGTCCTGTTTATCCAACCCCGGTTCGTAGAGAAAGCCTTCCAAGTACACATACCTTTGACTTCAGGCATCACACTTAAAGGAGAGATTAAGCACTGTTCATGCAGCACCGGCACAAATCTTCACATGGGAACATGCTGCAGAGAGTAAATAAAGACATGAGTATCAGAACAAATGCTGAGAGCTATAAGGTACCCATTATATCATGCTGTGGTGGCCTTATTTGACACTAGTCCTATATGGCTAACAGGTCACAGTACTTAGCTTTTCAAGAGGCTTAAATTTCCTTTCTGCCTTTTCTACACATCAAGAACCTTATTTTGATTTATCTTTTTTGCTGCTTCTAACAGACCGATGGGCAAAATGTGGTCCTGCGTAGATGATACTGGAAGGCAGCTCTCTTAAGCCAGCAGAGCCAACAGTGAAGTCCAACAACATCTGGAAGACCACAGACACTCAACTCTGTGCTAGTGATACAGGAACGACATCAGAAAAGCAGAACATGATAATCCTAATAACCATCCCATCCACATTTTCTGTTTAACTCCTTCTCTCCGTAGTTCGTCTCCGTCTCTTGTTGCTGATGCTTCAGGATGGCCCCTTTCATCCCTTTCCTTTCCTGCCCCCTCCCAATTTTTCACTCCACGTGCCGATCCTTGGCCCGAGTGGGGGATACTCTGCTCCCACTCCCCCCCCAACACCTCCATTAGTTCCCCGCCCCCCTAACCCGTTTTCTCCGTCTGCTTAAGACCGGAAGGAATCTAGGAACCCAGGCAGAGCCTGGATTCAGTCTTTTTAGAATGGCGGCTGACCTAACCACTCGAACCGGCTGTCTCGTCACACACCACCGCCGGCCCGTCAGGCAAGCGGTTGCCGAGACGGGCCGACCTCCCTTCCCCCGCCAAGGCCGAGCCCGGAAGGCGGCGCCAGAGCTGCCGAGTTCCTGCTTGGTGCCGGCATTTCCCGGAGAAGGGAGGGAAGGGCCGCCCCGCTTTCCCCGCCAAGGGTCCCCAGAAGCATCCCGCCTCTCGCCGCCGCCCGACAGACAGACACTTGCCGCAGGGGACCGCCGAAGCACCGCTGCTTTCGTGCCCACGGGCTGCCCTCCCCAGCTCGTAGAGAAAGACGCTCGCCGCCCCCCCTCCTCCGCTCTCCGAGTGTGAGTTCGCGAAGCCAAGGCACTTCCGCTTCCCGCTCCTTGCCTTTCCTGAGCCGGGAGGCGGAACTTCCGCCGCCGGCCTTCATTCAGAACGTTGTTCCCCCTAAGGACTTAGCCGCTTCTTGGTGCTGGGGGGGGGTTTCTCTCTTTACGGGGCGCTTCTCTGAGTTCTTACCTCAAGGAAAAAGGAAGGGAGGTCTCCCTTGTTTCCCCTTCAATTTAAATCTTGGGTTTCTTTTTAAAATACCCTCATTTTTTTTCTTCATTTACGCGACGTTTAAGGAAACCATTCCCAAACGGTTACAATTAAAAGAAATGGCCTCCCCGGTTTATGTGGGGAAAGGGGGACAATAGCCGCCGTGCCAGGGGGAGGTGTAGAAAAGGAAACGGGGCGCGGGGAGAGGAGAACCGGCCACGGCCGCCCAGCGCGAGGGCCAGGAGGACGGCGGGTTTTTTTTCGGCGGGACGTTACGGGGCGCTTCGCCCGCCAACGCAGCCGCGTGAGGCAACGGTTTTCGAAGGCGCGGTTGTCTCGCGATGCGGGTGAACCGCTTAGGGCTCGTCAGGGGGAATATGGGTCTCGCGATGCGGGTGATGTGGGACGGCGACTTCTCTTCACTAAGTACAAACGCTGGCAAGGCGTGCTGGGAGTGGCAGGTTTCGAAAATCTTATGTTAGGCACCAGTCAAACGTAATCTAATCGGAGGTGTGTCGGTTTTTGGTTCGGGACTTCAGTTCCCAGAATTCCTCCGGTAAGTACGGCAGGCTTGTTGAGGAACTCTGGGCGTTGGAATTCAAAGACAAACCTGTCTCTCTCTCCAGTCCTGACCGTTGTGATTCGGTGGTCCATCTCTAATGTGCCTTGTTTCTAAGTCCCACGCTCAGATTTGAAAGATGTGAACAAGTAAGGGGGGGGGGGAAGGGAAGTAGCCTCCAGATATCCACTCTGAAGGAGGCCTAGAAGTCACCCATGAGAGATCGGTCCTTTTTCATGGCACCGACTGTGGAACCAGCTCCCAGTGAAGCTATTCCCAGCTCCTTCCCTATTAACATTAACAGGCAACTTAAAATGCCGCTTTTCAGGGAGGCTTTGCACACTGACCGTGCTTGATTCTACCTCTCCTCCTTTTCTGCTTTTACACATAGTGGTCTTTTAGACCAGATGGGTGGGGTATAAATCAAATAAATAAATAAATAAATAATAACAATAATTTGCCTTTGATGCTACTTGCTTTTATCTTGCTAAATGTTTTTTATTTTATTGTCTATTTATAGTTTGCCGCTATGTATTTTTATTTATTTTTGTAAACTATCCAGAAGGGTGCATTGCACTAACAGGGCAGTATATAAATCATATCAATAAATACATAAAATATTTGTTGCTTCTCTGTGCACCACAGTGGCCAAATGAATGTATAATAGGCACTGAAATTAAGCACAGTTAAAACAACACATTGAAAATCTTATTTTGAAAATGCATTTAAACCTCACTAAAATCTAAATTTAAAATCATTGTAAAAGCCTGAAGATCATTTGGAACACTACAGCATTGGCTGTCCTCAGAAGACAACGAATAGAACTAGCTTGGTCTATCTTGGAAGGGAAATCTGTAATGAAGTTTAAGCTACAGAGAAGTCTGTTTCATCTACTCACCAATCTAGCCTGTACTATCTCTGGTGGACAGTAACAAATGTCTTGGGATCTATGGAGTGCCTTTATGGGGAAAGTAACTCAAATAACTGGACTGTTGGACACTTTATGACCTTTCGTTACTTGCCCCATCCACCTGGTACTCAGCTCTCATCTGTGGCTCCAAGTAACTAGCTAGCATAGCAGACATGCCATGGTAAACCACTCAACAAGTGGGCTAAACCAGATGAGAGTAAGCTGGTGAGCTTGACTGTCAGTTATTTTATGGGATATGTCTATCCCTGTATGTGAAAACTGGCACAGATGATAAAGTCGAAGAGTCCGTTATGGATCCAGTGGAGAGTCACCAAGCCAGTGATGCGGTCATGTTATTTGTAGAGGAGGATGAGGCATTTATGAAATCATGGTCAAACACTGTGCCAAAGCCCATCTTCAGTTGCCATGACTTAGGGCACCATCAGACGTGGAAATACAGTAGCTCACATTTTTGATTGCCTGTGGCATGGCTATTTTCAAGCAGTCACACAATGCACAGGCAATAATGCTCCATCCCAACCCCTATCATTGCTCAAGCTGGACCTTTTTGATCCAGCAGCAGAGATAGAGTGGTGCCCAGCTTGACGACGATAATCCGTTCCAGGAAAATCGCTAAGTGAAATCATCATCAAGCCGGGGGAACCATTGGAATGCATTGAAATCCAGTTAATGAGTTCCAATGGGGAAATAACTCATCGTCCAGCGAAGATTTCCCATAGAGAACTGCCGATCTGCTGTTTAAAATCGCTGTCTTCTGAAGCAGGGGTCTGGAAAACAGCCTTTTTGCGAAGGAGGGAAGCCATTTTGTGGAGCCGGAAAAAACATTGTTTTGTGAACAAACGGTTCACAGACAGAAGGATCACTTTAAGGGAGATTGCTCTGGCAAAGCAGCCATTTCCGGTGTAATCAAATGCAATTCTTTCTTGCTGTGTGATTGCACCCTTAGTCTTGCCAATGGATTATGATGGGCATTAGGAGGCAAGTGTAAGATGATGATGCACAAGTATTCCTCACTTTAAACAAACTCACATGCAAGTAATCTCCATTTCATTTCACTATAAAGCAAGGATGTAACAGTCCAACAAGGTCAGGATCAGCTAACCTTCCCCCATTGTGCTTGTGGCTTCCAGGCTTATAATGGGCTTGTTAGTCAACTGCATGCCCATTAATGAGCTAATACTCAAACTTAGTCACTTCCTTTTTCCTAAATGGTGGCTCTGATGAAGATGGTCTTCAGAAATGAATGACAAACTATTTTAACAAATGCCTTGCTCTTATTCTGCAGCAGGGACATGGAAGATGCTTTCTGCAACAGAAAAGGCAGGCAGGAGAATCAGATGCTACTGCCTTAAGGTACATTGGGTGTCTTAATTTTATGGTGCACTTCAGGAACAGCACAAGTGTCTACCTCACAGTGTTTGAAGCACGGAGGATGTCTTCAAACAGTGGCTCTCATTGTCCCAGCATTCTGGGAAGTCAATTGAGGGAGAGAGTACTTACCTGGAAAGGGGGAGACTGTGGATGGTGACTACCATTTTTGGCTTGAGAAGCAAAGTGATGCAAAAGAATAAAGAGCATGCAATCTTCTGGATATTATTGGACCACAATACTCATCAGTCCTAGGCAGCATAGTCGTGACAAATGCTGGTAGTTCCAATCCACTAAGATCTGGAGGTCCATATTTTATCCGTGTAATAAACCCCTGAATAAGTGATGTGCTGACTCTGAACAAGAAATTTTATATACTGTAGCTATCATGACAAATGTATTCTCTGAATTTTCTTATGTCCCTTTTCAGGGTATCTTCTTGCTTCTGATTCCATAAACGTTAATTTATTGTGCTATTAAAAATCATATAAAGTCGAACAATGCTCTTGTGTATGCTTGATCTCCTCCTAATTGCATTAGGTGACCCAGCTGGACAACCAATTTCCACTAATGTCAAAGCCCTTCCATTCCCATGAACAGAATAATGAGTACTGTAGCATACTTGATATTCCTACACTTGTCCTCCCTATGAAGGAGAAACAGAAAAAGGAGAGAGAGAACAGAGTGAGCTGTCCTCGTGAGAAAGCGATAAGAGAGGGAGAAATAAGTGAATGGAAAGAAGTGATGGTAGAAGAAAAGGGAGGGATAGAATCGAGAGGAGGAGGAGGAAAGTTTGAAGTCTGTTTAGTAAAGGAGAAGGAGGAAAGGGGGAGGGGAAGTGTACCAATGTGGTAGGAAGATATAAAAGATCAAGGAGAGAAGATATTTAGTATACCGGAAGGGGAGATAATAGGAGTGAAGGAGAATAGAGAGGAGAGAGAGATTGGCTTCTAGCGGGAGAGATTGATAGAAAACCTGGCCGAACAACAAATGTTACTGACTAGACACATTAAAAGAAGGAACCAAAGAAGAGAAAAGTCATAAATGCACAGGCCTACCACGGAACACGTAGGTGGCAGGTCCCGCACCTATCAGAGTGTAAAAGATGGATCTGACAGACGATCCCGAAGCATATCTACATACTTTCGAATGGGTAGCCATTGCGGCCGGCTGGCCAAAGGAGCAATGGACTTTGATCTTGATTCCTTGTCTCGCTGGGATATTACAAGAGGTGGTAGACACCTTGTCTCCAGAGAAAACCATTCAATATGAAATAGGGAAGACAGCCGTATTACATACCCTCAACATAACTGAAGAAGCTTACAGAAAAAAGTTTAGAGAACTGAGGATGAGAACAAGGACACATCCGTGTCTGTTGATGCAAAGAATGAAGGCTAAATTGATACGTTGGTTAAGACCAGAAGTCAAAAGAACAAATACTAGAAATGCTGGTAATGGAACAACCAATAATGACTCTGGGAGGCAGTCGGCGAAGCTGGGTGCAAAAGAAGTTAGAACAGGCGATCCGCCTAGTGGAAGATTTCTGCAATGCAACTCCACCCCCTTTGCAGAGATAAATAGAGGATGAGAGAAAATGGCGAATAGCCACACAAAGGGTGTGACGCTGTGAGGAGCCTTCAGTCCCAACAACATGACAAAGGGGAGAGGACACAGATTCAAACCTATGAGACCGAACTTGTGAGGCCCATTACCTTTGACCACAGACTGTTTGAAAACGGTGGTGGCTGGAGAGGAAGAAAAGATAGATGGCCAGTTTGTTTTGAGTGTGGTATGGAAGGCCATGTGCACTGCGAGTGCCTTGGAATGGATTATTTCTGGGTAGGACAGACCCAGAAGATGATGCAGGTCCAAGGCTGTGATCAGAATGGTTGGGAGGTGTTAGCATGGATCAATGGGAAAAGAAAAAGGGCTTTAGTAGATACAGGATGTGGTAAGACTCTCGTACATAGTCTAAAGGGTAAGATATTGGAAGAGAGTGTGTATGTGAAATGTATCCATGGAGATTCAGTCATATAGAATGGCATGGGCAGACATAGAAATAAAAGGAGAACATAGGAGATTAAAATTAGGAGTGATACCAGGATTGTTAAAAGATATGTTCCTAGGGCGAGATTGGGTAGGGGCCCACACGTTACTACAAATAGAAGAGGGTTTGCAAGGGGAATGCAAGGAACAAGGAAATGAAAGTGATTTTTTGAAAGACACTTTGTGAGAGCAAACCAGGCTATGGCGACAAGATGATCCTATGTTACAGGGAGTTCTGAGAGAGGCCGAAGAAGCAGGAAAAATTGTAAAAGGTGAGTGGAGGTTCAAAATGCAAGAAGGATTGTTATATCATGTGGACAAAGAAGGGAACAGGCAGTTGATGGTCCCTCAAAAATGGAGAAAGACAATATTGCAGCTAGCTGGTCATGTACTAATGGCAAGACAGTTATCAACTCACAAGATGATGCCACGACTAACGCAGCAGGTTTGGTGGCCTAATGTGTTTAAAGAAGTAGATTGTAAGACTTGTAAAGAGTGTCAAGTGACCCAGATGAAGCCATGACCAGGAGCCCCTTTGATACCAATGCCACTAGTAGATCACCCCTTTGAGAGAATTGGTATAGACATTTTAGGCCGTTTGATTAGATTGGCAGGAGGACACACACATGTATTGGTCATAATACTTATGCTACTAGATATCCTAAAGCTATTCCTTTAAGATCCACCACTGCTAAGGTTTTAGCTAGAAAGCTGATGCAGGTGTTTTGTAGATTGGGTTTTCCAAAGGAAGTCTTAACCGACCAAGGCACTAATTTTATGAGTCAGACCCTAAAAGAATTATGGCATTCGTTGGACGTAAAGCCTGTTCACACTGCGGTATGCCATCCTCAAACCAATGGATTGGTAGAGAGGTTCAATAAGACTTTGAAGGGAAAGCTGAGGAAGTTAGTATTAGAAAAAAAAACAGGTGGCATTTGCTGATAGCTTATTTGATGTTTGCCATTAGGGAAGCACCACAAGCATCTACAGGTTTCTCCTCTTTTGAAATGATGTATGGGTGGAACCCTAGAGGGATATTAGATTTAGTAAAAGAGAAGTGGGAAAGATGAAGCTCGAATTCTAGTACTACAAGTGATTGAAATGCGGGATCACTTGAACAGAGTGGCAGAAATGGCTAGAACCCAATTGCAAAAAGTACAACAAGGTCAGAAGAGACAGTTATGATATGAAGGTTAATTATAGACAATTTAAGGTAGGACAAAAAGTGTTACTTCTGTTATTGGCAGAGAGCGCTAAATTATTCACAAGATTGCAAGGACTTTATGAAATACTCAGACAGGTTGGAACCATGGACTATGAGATAAGTATGCTGGACAAAAAGAAAAAGACAGGCCTTTTTCATGTGAATTTATTGAAAGAGTGGAGAGAATGAGAAGTATTATGGGGAGAAATAGACGAGGAGGATTTATGTTGCAAGGCTATGGTCTGATTACAAGTCACTCAAGAACTCAATTAATTAATTAATTGTTATAAATTTTTCTTGAACATGTTATCCTTTATGTTGTAAGCTGCCTAGAGTGGTCAAAATGACTAGATAGGTGGGGTATAAATACAATAAATAAATAAATAAATAAATAAACAAACAAATAAATAAATTAACTCTCTTTAGGAGAAGGATTAGAAACAGATCTAATTGACCAATGGTTGTTGTAGGTTTTTCGGTCTCTTTGGCCATGATCTGAAGGTTGTTCTTCCTAATGTTTTGCCAGTCTCTGTGGCCAGCATATTCAGAGGACAGCACTCTGTGCTCTGGTGACCAAATTCATCATGGCCAGCATCTTCAGAGGACAGTGCTCTGGTGACCAAATTCATCTAGTTAGAAAAATAGAAGAGAATTTTAAAGATGCCTTTTCCAACAGACCTGGATATGCCAAAATGGTTAAACATCAAATTAATACCTCGCCTCAGATGGTGGTCAAATCAGGGGGAAGGAATTGGCCGCATCATCTAAGAGAAACTAAATAAAGAAGTGGAAGAGATGTTAACATTGGGGGTGATAGAACCATCTTACAGTCCATGGAGAAGTTATCCAGTAATGGTCCCCAAGCCAGATGGAAGTGTGAGGTTGTGTATTGACTTTGGGAAATTGAATGAGATATCCAAGTTTGATGCCTACCCGATGCCCAAAGTAGAACATCTGTTAGATGGGGGGGGAATTCTTATATACTTTAGCTCTCACGAAGGTTTATTGGCAGATTCCATTAAGATCTAATGATAAAGGAAAAATGCTTTCGTCACCCCAAGAGGATTGTTCCAATTTATCCATATGCCATTCGGGTTGTATGAGGCAGCTGCTACCTTTCAGAGGTTCAAAAGATTCAGAGGTTCTAAAAATTCAGAGATTAATGGATAAATTTTTGAACCAGTACAAACATTTGCAGGGCCTTATATCGACAATAGTTTGACTGATTGTAATAATTGGAAAGACATGTAGAACATTTAGAGAAAGTGTTGATTGAGTTGAGGAAAGCAGCGCTCAAGGTGAACCCTTCTAAATGTAAGATAGCTCAAAGGGGAGTGAAGTTCCTAGGCTTTCAGGTAGAACAAGGAAGGATACAACCAGTACAAGATAAGGTAGAAAAGATATCAGATTGGCCACCACCTAGGAACAAGAAAGAAGTTCAACAATTCTTAGGGCTAGCAGACTATTATTGTCAGTTTGTTCCTCTTTGCAGAGATTGCAGCACCACTTACAGACTTGACTAAGAAGAGAATAGCCAATAAGATAAGATGGGGACTTACTGAACAGGAAGTGTTTGACTGCTTCAAGGAAGTATTAAATAGCTTACATAGTAGATATGTTCCAAATTTCAATCTCCCTTTTATAGTACAAATTGATCATCAGACAAAGGAATAGGTGCTGTATTAACTCAGATGAGGGCAAGTATGGAATACTCTGTCATGTATTTGAGTAAAAA